CACACACACACACACATACATACATACATACATACACACAAGCACACACATACACACAAACACACACATACACACTACACACGCGCATAAAGGAGGAGGAAGAGGAGGAGGAGGAGGACGACGACGACGAGGACGAGGACGAGGACGAGGAAAAGGAGGAGTAAAGTGTCCTCACTCCATCGAACTGTAAAGAACCTGCGCAATCGATTTCACTTACAGTTCCAATTATACCAAACTTCTTTGGGGGAACGGGCAAAAAGAATAGCTTAGTAAAGTGAAACACTAACTGCAACAGTTGCGAAAATAATTACTAAATGCCAGTAAGATTAAGAATGTTGGGCCTTTTTAAATACAATATAGACCATCTATACATACATGAAGTATTACATGTAGCCCAACAAACTTTTATCCTAGTTACCATTGAATCTATAGTGTGTACAGGAAACTAGGTTTGAGAACATGTTGATATTTCTCTATATAATAAGCAGGTACGGGTGTAAACTAAACCACCCACCTACTTATGGTGCCACGAGGGATCAAAAGGTCAACAGACCTGAGATTGCCACATGTGCAGACAAAACTTTTTAAGTAGACCAAGAACAAGAACTCAAGACTCGACAAGACTTTATAATTTAGAAAGACATAAGAGGTTTTGTAGTGCAATTTGATACCCTTGCAGTCAGGTAAGCCGTTAAACTTACCTAGAAGTTTAAGAGCCCTTGGTCTATCCAAGTCTACAGGTTGTCCAGAACGGTGGTTATCTTATCTCCTCTTTTATTATTTATACATATCCATGTGGTCAGGACGTGGCCGCGAAGCATCGAAGGGGAGAATAAGGTAATATATTATTCCTAAGCAAACAAATCGGTAGACATTCGACCTTGGCAGCTAGGGCCTTCACAACAGCATGTACAAGTATACTATTTGATATGAGTTGTGTTAGTCATGAGAGCTTACACGTCAGTGGCTTCGTCACGGAGCAAGAATAAGTCTTGTTCATGGTGAGATCATGCTAACGCCAGGACCGCTACTAGAAGAAGAAGAAGAAGAAGAAGAAGAAGAAGAAGAAGAAGAAGAAGAAGAAG